TGGAAGGATATTCAGAAGAGAATCTTAAAATCATCATACAATAGTCGTCAGGACCACAATTGCAAAATTATGGGTAGAAGGCAAAAAACAGACATTGGAAAATTTTCTTTCGTAAACTGGACAATAAAAAACTGGAACGAATTACCTGCTGTACTGCTAGAGGCTTTACCTCAGAGTGTGGGAAAATTAAAAAAACATACTAATAATTGTACATATGTTAGACTAGAGCATTCCAATTTTGTATTCATTTAGTATTAGTCATATTTTGTAAAAAAAAGTGTTTTTAATGTACTTAATTTAACGTATAACTTACATGAAATTTAAATCTATTACTTGATGTATTATGGAGAGCTGCCACCGGGATCTTTCCCAAAGCAGTTAATATATAATAATAATTATTATTATCATTATTATTTTTATATTTATTATTATTATTTAAACGCCCACTAAATGTAATACCATCATAATGCAAAATTCGTTATTTCGTGTATTTGTTATGTTCTTTAAATATATTTTGTATTTTTATATAAATACATAAGCGTCAAATCTGACATCACAATCAAAATGTGTGAATATAATGATTTCAAACAATTTTCTGTTAGACTTGATGATGAAATTTATTCAAACTCATTTTCAGAAAAACGTTTTTTGAGTTACGACGGTTATGAATTTAATGGGCGACTTGGTGATGCGAAATTACTATTCAAAGAAATCCTGAGATTTATTTATCGTATGACACATCAAGAAGACAGAAAAAGAATACGTGTTATCATACTACCCAAACACCTTTACATAACTCCACGGATAAGACAATAAAAAAAGAAAAAGTGGCACAACAATCGAATGTCACAACGCTGTACAATTCAAATAACACACAGATCGAGATGTGCAGTGATCAACGAACGATGCACGCATGGGAAAACTACGACCACGGCAATGCTCATTTATCGTGCAATTATAAGCATTTAATACTCAAAATCGTGCACCTTGATCAGTTACGACAGACACAAAATAATAAAATTTGCTATTTGTTGGCACCACTGCCAATCTCACGTCTTAATGTAATTCAAACACTAGGATACGAACAATGATCACACAAACGCACATGGGAATATAAGGTCGTGTTCAGGAAACTCCGATTACGAAGAAAGAACAGTAACGAACAAGGATTTGCTTGGAAGCAGAAGAAACAATTAGAAGGCAAGTTCGACGACCGGCGCGGAGCTGGCGGCCAAATCCGGAAACGGAGGGAACGTGGAGGAATGTAAATGCTTACGGTGCTGCTACTGCGAAGAGGACCAGACGCGCTTAATCGGCTACAACCGACCACTCAAACGGCAGATGCTTACAGCAGATCATCAGAAACTCTGGGTTACAACTAAAACAGCCGCCTGTTGCAAGTGATTTCAACCAACCACAATGCGCTTAAAAGTCGAAGTTGATAGCCACCATGTAATCATCGTTCTTGCAGGATAACTGAGGCACTTACCACTTAAAATGGTAAGATAATTACATTATGAATGATAACATAATCAAGTATGACAATCAATAATATATTAAACTTCATAAACCATGAAACGCTGCGATTGCTTATGTTAACATGCCCATCGCTTTCTTTCTTCATCCGGTTATTGTAACGGTAACGACCAAATCCCATTACCTTACAGAGGGTTAGAGGATGAAGACTATTGAAGAACAATACCTAAAACATGAAATCAACAGCGCAATGTCATTTAATGTCCTTTATTTTCAAACTTGAAAAGCATACTTTAGAAAGTGCAGTACCTTGTAATTGAAAAAAATGTATTTTCTCGGTCCAGACGAAACACCAACAATAATGATCAGAGTATTCATTACAATGCTAACGTTTCTTCGACGCACAAACTGATACTTCTCCAAGGAAAATCAAGGAGCACTTCTCTAATAAAAAAAAGCATTCTCAAAATGATTTCCGGAGTAGGGGTACCTTCAGCCGTCCGGCCTTCCATCCGCACTGGCAGCTCGTACGACGAGAGGCCAAGTGGGCACCGTTTGCAGTTCTAGGACCTGCGCAGCTACTTTATTGTCTCTCTGGAGTCGACGGTGTTCCGCCTCCTCTAGGTGAGATCCGGCGCCACCCTGCACGTCGGCTTGTGAGGGAATTCTCCCCCGGCGGGCCACCGCACAAGCACGAAGTTCCCGACTGGTCTTCCGTCACGAAAGGTGGTGTAGTGCATGTAAATGTTCTCATCCCCCGCCGTGAGTGTGAATACGTGTAAGGGGAGAGGATAGGGCAAGAAAGAGGAAGAAAAGATCGTGGGCAGCCCGTTTGTTATTGTTGGGGCAACAGTGGTTGCCCTGAGCCACCTCAACCGGCGAGAGTTCAGTTGACAGTGGTGGCATATTTGCAACGTCTGGGCCTTGTGGGCACCACGAGTCTCGTGTCCGGTTAAAACAGTAACGCCACCAATCTGTTCAAAATGGATACCGCGTCTAATAAGCAGTAGCGTGAGCGGATGAGATTTTGCGAGGCGAGCTCCTAACATCAAACGTTACGAAGTTTATAAGACATACAGTCAAGACGTTAATTCGCTAAAACTCTCTTAACAATGCATCCGCGCAGACTCCTCCTATCCGCCAGCAACGCACCCGTGCTGGTCGCCAAGCCGATGCTCGTAGCACTTCTTCTTTAAATGCTGTGACGTCTGCGTTATCATCAGCTGCGTAATGTGTATTAATGACCTACATGGCAACCGTTGGTCTTCCACTGCCTCTAACTTAATGAGTCCAAAACACTACTTTTCAAGATGGAAACTTTTTTCTGGAAGAAGAGTAGTAAATATACAAAGTGCATTCATCTTCATGTGAATCAAAATTCTATTCATGTGATTATGGCCTACGATGATTCAAGAGATTAACAATTAGTCATTCCATTACGTTTAGTTTTGTGATAAAACAAAACATACTGTATTACATCATAAAATTATAATTAAAACTAGTGGTGCTTCAGAATGACAAACTTTATCCTACCGGCTAGGGTCCCTTTAAACTAGCTTTCAGGTTTTAAAACCTTCATCCCAGTTGACATCTATTGGCCCTAAGACATTTTTTAATATATATTTTCTCAATTGTTCGGTCCCCTACGGTAGATTTGAAATATGACTTTAAGAATGTTATACAAAATTAAAACCTGGACTGATATGCAAATTTTAATTGAATAATTTGGAGATGTTTTTGAGAAAATCGTTTGCGCTTTCTGAAAATGTGCCATTTTGAGCTCTTTTTCACAGAAAGATTTCCAAGTTTCAATAAACATCAAAAGAAAACCGTATAAAGCCCATGTACTCACAAATGCAATAACGAATAAAGAACGCCCGTAATGTGAATATTAACGACATGGGAGATATTTTAAAAAAATATTTGTGCATTTTTTGGAAAATCAAATTACATCAAAATGACTGGTATGACACGTTATTCAGAGCATTTAGCAACTATCCGTGCAAAAAGGTTGAAGACATCTTGAAGAAAATTTGGTTTTTAACATTGCCCACTCAAAACTGCGCTTGCAATTTTTAATAATTCGGAGTTAATAGAAAAAATCGAATCTATGCCGTCTTTATATGGGTATTTCACTTTTCTCTCATAAGAAATTTAAAGAATAAATTTGGAGATATTTTTGAGAAAATGTTGAAAATTTCCCTTGGACTTTATGTAAAGTACACCCAAAATTCACAGAATTGATTTCAAATTTGCAGGGCTTTCAGTCGGCCGTTGTTCGCCGACGGACGGAAAGAAGTTTATGTCAATTCTTCGGAATAAAGGACCCATAAATCTTGGATTTTGTCTACAAAAGTGTAGTGGAAGTAATTTGCTACATATTGGAACAAGATTTATCAGTTGCTTTTTCGGCATCAAAGCTTCACAACAGCAGTCTTTTTCACACTACTACGTATATGACTCCAAATGTACGTTCGTATTCGAGGAAGAGGAAATCATTAACAATCAAATCATGTTGGAGGAATTAAACGTTTCTTACAAAATGTAAGTGAAAGAGTACACTAGAATTCGTATTTAAATATTCGTAACTTTTCAACAAACGTTACATAGGGGAAGTTAATGATAATTCACGGAAAATTACTATACTTATTAACAAGCACTCGAATGTTGTTTTGGATTATGACGTTTATAAGCATTCATTTAATGTTCGTATCATGTAATAAAATCCAATTTCTCGATGTCCTATGTAAATCAAAGATCTGTATAAATTAAAGAAACTGCTATCCTTATATATGAAAGTAACTGAAACAAATCTGCTCTTTAAAAAAGAAGAAATAAAGGTGCACCTGAGAGTCCAATAACTGCGTCTCTTAGTCTGATGAACGAATTTCAACACTGTACGTATATCTTTCAGAAGTGTCAAACACAAGGATTGTGGGGGGGGGGGGAGAGTTCAAGAAAGATTAAGTAAAACATAAAACATTAGTAATATCACAACAAAATATTATAAATAATCCAACTTATTTTCAATACAAAAACTGCGACAGCTGTTATGGCATATCGAAAAGGTGTAATGTTTCTAAAGAATTAGTGTAAAGCTACCGACTTTTCAATGCGCTACGCTAATAACTAACCTTGGGTTATCAAGAAATGAACAGTCAAAATACCAAAACTGACATTACGCATGAAATTACAACACACGTATGAAATCCATTTTTTTAAGTTAAGTAATAATAAAAGTTTGTACTACGTTACACGGAACAACTAGAACATAAGTTCAATTTTGAACATAAAAGCTGAAAACATACGTGTTTGCGAAAAATTAAGCTAGTATTTGAATGACAGGACGGGCAATTGTGTCAATTGAACATAATTTTTTTGTAGACTTTCCATTTTGTTGGCGAATTATAACTATAGAGTGTCTATTGCAGTAATTCGCAAGAAATGAAGGGACATAAGGGCTAAACTAAAAATTAATTTAGAAAGAATGTCGAGTCTGCTTTATGATTGCAGTTAGGCAGATTTTAATCAGTGTAAGTGAATTCGCCATTTTTATTGCGACATTCACACCACTTGCCCCGCAACCACACCACAGACATCAGCGCGCCCCGTACACCAACCACGAACTTCCGAGACAGACTACGGCACAGGCTGCGGACGTTGTTGAATCGAAACGCCTCCGCCGCCCTCCCGGCGGCGCCCGGGACTGCGACACTCCCCCGCGCGCCCCTGCGCTGCGCCGCGCCGCGCCGCGCCGCCCAGCCCAGCCCTGCCAGCCCGCCCACCGCGCCGCTGCGGGCCGCGCGGCGGCCGCCCACGCGAAGGGACGCTCCGCGCCCTGCACCCGCCGCCCGGCACGGCCCGGCCCTGTGGCGAAACCGCGCCGCGCCGTGCCAGCTGCGGGCACGCGAGACGCAATCGCGTGCGGCGCAGCGCACCAACCCGCATGCACACCACGCCCGTTTAAGAACATTCCGCGGCACCATTAACATTTTTTTTTCGTCTCCACGGGGCTCTAGCCACACACTATCCTATCGGCGCGAAACACATGCGCGGGTCCGCGTGTTAGTTATACGTAGGCGATAATTCAAAACTTTTAAAATATGGATTCGGCCCGAAAATGGGTACATGGTTATTAAACACGTGCACCATGAATCAACAGTCACATGTTCGGACCCACGACCAAATACGGGAGTTGATCTGACGTAATCAACACGAGACATCATTCATTCGCGTCCGTTCCTATTAGAAGAGTCGATGACACGACACCAGTAAGAGTGGCGAATAGGCAACACACGTATTTTCACTACTTCACGTCATGGTAACTAATAATAACCGATGACTTCCCTACGTGGTTATCGAGCCCCAAAAACTTGTTTATAGATTGCTTGGGATCCAAAATCCTTTTTGCTTGACGAAAGCCAATCGAACATAAGAGAAGACAGCAGCACCACATACACACAAAGCCAATAACTTGCAAGGGCCTAACAAGCACGCGGGTTAATAAAATTAAAATGTCTTTAACCCAATACTAAATCTAATAACCCCCGCCAATGCCACAATACATGCACTGAAAGAACAAATCTCTCACATGATAAACGTCCATGCACAGTATCATTGAAAGTTTCGAAAAAAATAAAAAAAACCTCCCCTACAAAAGGACGCTCTGCAAACTTGTTTTATCTCTTAATTAACACCTTACTGAAAAGATATAAAGAGGCATTATGGAATAAAAACAAGTGTTTACCTGTATTTTCCGGGAGCCCCAAAACCACCTCCTTCTTGTCAGCCATCTTAGCACCAGTTACTAACCGAAGAGTATTGTGGGTGGCGAACATGTGAAGAACGCAAGGCGTAGAAATCAGTAAAAATGTGGAAGTTCGTATGAGGTGATGTAAGGGATAGTAAGATTTTATAAGACGTTGTTACAACATAGTACTTTAATGTTTTACAGATATAATTATTTATATGACTTATAGGAGTATCACATATAATATTGTTTTACGGCAAATTTCAGTGAATTGTGGATGATTTAGGTTATGACGAACATATTCTACGCATATATGCGTAGAATGTTTTAAAGTTGTGTATTATATTCCTTGGAGATACCTTTCTATTTTACCATACGACTTTTTTCTGCAGGAGGAAGAACAAGAAACAGAGTATTCTTACGTTGAGTTAATTGGTAAGGGAAAATGAACGTTACAGCGCCATCTCTCTTCATTTCATTCATTTACAAAGTGTTCTTTCATAGAACACCAGATGCAGCACCAAACAGCACACATGCAGCACACGTCGATCAACAAAGCAGTTTTAATTAGTATTTATGTTTGTTTCTGAAGGAAATTTTGAAGAAATATTGTGCGTTGATGTACTTCCACTGCTTGTAAAGTATTAGTTTTATTTCTAGTTATGAACTGTAACGCGAATAAAGGAGATAACCAGGAAAGCTAAGAATCTTTATGTTGATTGAATCCCAAACGAAAATGAGACCAAACTTTATAAAATAGACATCAGATTTCATGAAGAAAAGTGTTTCACTTATGCTGTCTTGTCCGTTTTTCCAATTTTTCAGGAAAGCAAATTTTATGTTTGATTACATGAACAATTAGGAAGTTGTAAACTCTAATTCTATTAAATAATGCTTTAGCTTATACATCTGATTGTAAATATTTAGGATACATTGCAGTAATTACTTCTGATTATTATCTTTTGGCTTTGCATGATATAAGTTACATATCATGTTTTGACATAGTGATATTGCTTACCCCCAGAAAGTATTTACACTTCATCATCCAAAAACGAATATTGAGAACAATGGCAAACGCTCACAAATAACAGTCCCGCAAACCAACGTTCAAAAAATTACATATACTACCGCTCCCATGCATGTACATATATGAAATATTAACCTTCACAAAGAAGACTCTTATGGGAAACAAGGATTCTGTTACTCTAAACACAGAAGTTCATAACTATGATACCAGACAAAAAAGAAATCTGCATATCCCATACAGTGAAACTTCACTCTTTCAAAAAAGTTGCCTTGTAGAATGCATTACACAATATATTACAAACTTCCTAGCGAATTTAAAAGTTTAAACTTGATACACACATTCAAAAATGAACTGAAAGCTTTCCTGTTAAACCATATATTCTACAGTTCAAAGGAATATATACATCATAAATACATATCTACATCAATATAAACTAGTATTAATAATTTTTGCATTTTCTGTTGCATATTTTGAAACCCCCCTAAACTGTTTGTTGGATCTAAAGAACGAATCAAGCCCAGGCATAAATCTATGAATACGTTTTCTTTTTATCACTTTTATTCCTTACTTTCTCTTTTTTTATTATTATTGATTTTAAACTTAAGTCTTCTTACACTACCATTATAAAATTAAGTAGCATTCCATGATATTGTATTTAGTAAAAGAATTGAATTGAATTTTAATTTTTAGAAATACCTGTATTGTGCATTGTATGATTATGTACATATCCTGACTTCTCATACATGGCGTTTTCTGTATTTATGTAACAAATATATTATTATTAATATTATACCAATATGTGACATGTCCTAATATTATAGTTCTAATAGCACAAAGAACCGTTTTAAGTTACGTTTTAGTTATTTTTAACAAATACCTTTACTGTATATTTTCAAACTCTATTCACAAATGAAAAATAAACATTTAACTGAATATCACTCATTATTAAACAAAACATAGATAAGAGAAACCATGCTTTAATACTTACAGAAATCATACATTAGGCTTCATACTTTTTTTGTGAACACTAATTTATCATCATCATCGTTTATCAAGATTATATAACTTATATGTTCAGAAAATTAGTAGAAGAGTATGGAAAATGGGAATGGAAATAAATTTACAAAAAACTGAGTATATGGTGGTGGGAGGTATGCCCCATGATTTAGAGACTAGTATAGGAATAATTAAAGGTAAAACACAATATATGTATTTGGGAGTCACACTAACAGCAGATGGTAGTGACGAACAGGATGTGAAAAATGAAAATATAAGAGGAAAAATAGCCACAAGACAATTGAATCCAGTGCTATGGAACTCAATTATTTCAATGAAGACAAAGAATCACATATATAGCTCCTTCATAGAGAGTACTACACTCCACTAACAAAAAATTTCCAATCTCCAAAAACAAACATCAATCAACAGAAATGAAGTTCTGGCGAAGATGTTGTAAACTATCTCTGTTAGATAAAATAAGAAATAAAATGAAAGTGCAAACCACCTTGAATGAGGCAATCGAAATGAAACAATTAAAATGGTATGGTCATTTGAGGAGGTTGCAATCGGATAGACTTCCACAAAAAGTTTGGGAGTGGATACCAAACCAAAGAAGACCAAGAAGAATATGGAACATGGCAATAACTGAAGTCATGAAAAAAAGAGAAATGGAGGAAAACGATCTATGGGATAAAGAGGCATGGATATTGGAATATGGAAAACGGCCAAGGCTGTAAAAAATAACGCTAAATAGATAGAGAGACTCATTTATCATTGCCATCATTATCATCACTATCTTTATGAGATGAATAGTCAGAACCAAAATAAGGTGTTTTTGCTGTAGTGACTGAACCCATGATCCACAGGAGCAGTTAGTGGTAGGACACTCAGTAGATCTCGCTTTTTGACAGGATTTGTAGAGAGCCACTGCATGGTGGTAAAATCTGACTGAGAACAATTCTTGGACTAATTGGGTGACCTATTGTCTCTCGTCTCAGATCAAGTTGTCGGAATGGTCCCTCCTTGGCCAAGGAATATTTAATATTTATTATGACGATTATATTATTAATATATATAATGACTTAATCAAATGCTCTATCTATCTTTCATCATACTAGTAATGTTAACTTATTAGTGTGTGTTCATATAATATCTGAATTGCCTTGAATTCTCTGTAATTACAAACCATGTACCACTACAAGAGTGACTACTCTGTACCAACCTTTCAGTTCAGTCAGGCAATTTACTAATTAGTAATGTAGTAAAAAACGTAATTTTGTGTCAGGATATTGTAAGCACTTACAATTATTATTAACATCTAAGGTATTCAGGTTATTGACGTAAATTAATTTACTACTGAATGATTACTTACTGTAATTGTAAGTTAGTACTTTCTGTTGTATCATAATCTGCTAATGTAATGTGTTACTGTATTTTTAATGTCCTCTTAATTTATTGTAATGTTAATGTTATTTTTAATTTGGTAATAAGACTTTGTGTAGTTCAAAAATGTAAATTATTTTTATGTTTATTATGGCCACTGCATGCTTTATTAATCATGTAATTTATCAAGTAAACTTTTTAATTTTTACTGTATGTTGGATCATTGAATTTAATTTCTGTTGTAACTTTTTAATTGTTTATATTAATCAATTTTATATATTTTAAAGTATAATTTATCAAGATAATGTAAACTTTAGTGTATATATGTTTATGTCATCAAATTAATTTATTTTTTTAATATTTATATTGTTTTTCAGAAAATTAATAAAGATCTCTAACAGATTGTAATATTTCTGTATTAGACATTTTTATAACTTTATTGGATTCTTGAAAGTAATGAAATTCCATTATTCCTTCAGGATCGTCAAAAGACTATCAGGCTGGAAACAACTAATAATAACCATTATTTTCAGCAGGTTAAGTAAATTTCAGACAATTTGGATACATTCAAAAGCATAATTTTCATGTATTTGTAATGGCATTTCTAATGACTCTTCTTGTATTATATAAAATCAGAACCATTTTGTGAATTATATATCATAGTGATCATATTTTACTTTCTACACAAACTTTTATCTGTATAGATATTTGACTATTTGCAAAAACAACTAATGTTAGATAGTTACAAAAGTTGTATAAGTGATTTTGAAAATAGATGGGATCAAGTAGAAATCTTCAAACTCCGTGTCATCCCTTCCCCGGAGTCAACATTTTGTAATGTTACTCAATTTAATTTAAACAAATACATGTTATGTTTGGCCAATATTTAAAGACAATAACCTTTTTTTTAATACATTTTTTTGAGGTATTTGTATTTGTCTTGAATTTCTTTTTGAAATATATATTATATTTGGCCAATATCTAAATACTATAATTTTTTTCTTTTCTTGTAAATTTTTATTACAAAACATTTTTATAAGGATAATAATGTTTCTGGGTTCTTTTCCGAAAGAAATCATTGAAATTTATTTATACCTTAAAAAATTTTAATGAAAACTGATATTTAGTAACTTTAAAACATTTTTTGAAATTTTCTACAGAATCTGAAGGTGGGATGGAGAAACATCAAAAAACGTTATTATCCTTATAAAAACTTTTTGTAATAAAAATGTATAAGACAAAAAGAAAAAAATTGTCTTTAGATATTGGCCAAACATCCTATATATTTCAAAAAGAAATACAAGACAAATATAAATAAAATATAAAACAAACACCTCAAAAAATTAAAATAATTAAAAAATATTAAAATTGAAATGTAAATGTATATATATAGGTTTTTGATTTATTAATTCCTTGAACAATATTATTTTTCTCGTAGAAAAGAATATTGCTCAAGGAATTAATAAATCAAAAACCTGAAATTCACCCAGTAATATAGCTCAGATTGATCTTCAAACTATCTAATAAAAAATAAAATTTGGTTAAATCATTTCTGATAAATTTGTCTTTGAACAATGAAGTTTCTTGAAATGCTAAAAATAGCAAACATTGTTCCAATTTAGACAAAAGGATCCATTGAAGAAAAAAAGTATAGACCTCTCTTATTACTATAACCCTTTTCAAGAATATTTGAGACAGTAGCTTACACTAGAAT